GCTGCTGCCTGAGGGGGTCCCTCCGGCCTGACCCTCCAGGCGGCCTCCCTCGCCCACCCCAGAGGGCGACGGGCCTCCCCCCACCCCACCCCCGTCGCCATAGCAACCCTCCGCGGCTTCCGCCGCCTCACCTTCTCCACCCGGCAAGCGACGCCCCACGGGCCAACCCCTGACGCACTGGGCGATGAACCGCTCCAGCTTCCGGGGACGAGCCTCCACCGCCACCAACGCTGACCTTGAGGGGCGGCGAAATAAAATACACGCACCAACAGAACGGCCGCCAGAGACACCGGAGGCTCTATAAAGGAGGGGATAGGGGAGGAGGCCCCTCGTCTCTCCCCCGCCGGTGAGGCCGGGCTCTCCCGCTCCGCCGCACAATCCAGCCGCGCGGGGGGGGGAGGGAAGGAAGGCGCTCGGCTCTCTCCGTCTATGCGTGGAACCTTGTAGAGGTTGCGAGACCGTTGCCTGCGTTATCATATCTTCATATATATGGAAGTGCGCCACTATTTATACTTGTGTTGTTGCTTGTTTAGTCGTTAGTCGATGTCCGACGCTCTTTCTGATGACCCCTGACCAGAGCATGCCAGGCACTCCTGTCTTCCACTGCCTCCCGAGTTTGGTCAGACTTCATGTTTGTAGCTTCGAGAACACTGTCCCACCATCTCCTCCTCTGCCTCGCCCCCTTCTCCTTGTGCCTCCATCATTTGCCCAACATCAGGGTCTTCTCCAGGGAGTCTTCTCTTCTCATGAGGTGGCCAAAGTCTTGGAGCCTCAGTCAGGATCTGTCCTTCCAGTGGAGCACTCAGGGCTGATTTCCTTCAGAATGGATCGGTTTGGATCTTCTTGCAGTCCATGGACTCTCAAGCGTCTCCTCCAGTACATGAATTCAAAAGCATCAATTCTTTCTGGCAATCAGCCTTTCTTGATGGCTCCATCTTCTCACTTCCATGACAATTCAACTACTGGGGAAACACCAGAGCTTTGACTATAAGGGGACTCTTGCTGGCTAAGGCTGATCTTTCTGCTTTTTTAAGATGCTGTCTAGGTTTGCCATTGCTTTTCTCCCAAGGAGCAGGCGTCTTTTATTTCGTGACTGCTGTCACCATCTGCAGTGATACATGGAGCCCCAAGAAAATAAAATCTCGTCACTGCCTCCATTTCTTCCCCTTGCTATTTGCCAGGAGGTGATGGGACCAGTGGCCATGATCTTCGTTTTTTTTGATGTTGAAGCTACAGACCATATTTTGCGCTCTCCTCTTCACCCTCATATAGATATAAATATAGATAAATATAGATACCCTATTAGATATGAAGTATAAATATATCTGGAAGTTTACACACAATATATATGTATATTGTGTGTTTATTGAATATCTATACCTATATCTATAATGTATTATATAGAAATATATTGTTGTTGTTGTTTAGTCGTGTCCGACTCTTCGTGACCCCCTGGACCAGAGCACGCCAGAGCATGCAAGATATCTGGTCCAACTCCACTGGACCAGAGCATGAAATATACATATATATATATATGAATGAAAATATATACATGCAGATATAGATTTGTCTGAAATGAGCTATAAATCTAATATAGAAATATTTATAATGTAATATGTATAGTGTGTGTGTATATGTGATATAGATAACTTTGAAATATATAGATGCACGATACATAGTTTGTGTGTGTGTATAAATATTATAATGCCAACAAAGGTCTGTTATAGTTAAAGCTCTGGTTTCCCCAGTAGTGATGTATGAAAGTGAGAGCTGACCATAAAGGAGGCTGATCGCCGAAGAATTGATTGCTTTTGAATTATGGGTGCTGGAGGAGACTCTGGAGAGTCCCATGGACTGCAAGAAGATCAAACCTCTCCATTCTGAAGGAAATCAGCCCTGAGTGCTCACTGGAAGCACAGATCCTGAAGCTGAGGCTCCAAGACTTTGGCCACCTCCTGAGAAGAGAAGACTCCCTGGAAAAGACCCTGATGTTGGGAAAGATGGAGGGCACAAGGAGAAGGGGGCGACAGAGGATGAGATCTGGCGTGCTCTTGTCCATGGGGTCACGAAGAGTCGGACACGACTAAACGACTAAACAAGAACAACATAAATATATAAACACACACATACATACACACAATATATATGTGTGTGTGTGTGTATGTGTGTATAAAATACAGGATGGAAAGCAAGCTGAACATACAGCACATATCTGTGTTTGTGTGTGTGTGTGTGTGTGAATGAAGTGTGTTTGTGCGCACACAAAATCTATTTACGTGCCTTGGCAGGTAAGCCATGACTCCAGAGTAGACCTATAGAACCTAGTGGACTCTGAGCTGCAGCCATTCTTCTCGACATTCATCTGCTCCAAGAAGGAGGAAGGTTTTACTCAGGTGTTGATTTAGCAGGGCATATAGTGGGATGAAGAGCTCCCTCTTTCCCCTCCCTCCCCACTCACCCGTCACCCTTAAAACCTTTCTTGTGAGGCCAAAACACCACCTTCTTCAAGCCCTACCTTAGGGGCAGCCCTGGGCACCCTTACCTGAACTTGGCCGCTTTACATCTGAGTAGACCAGCGCAGGAGGAGACTGCACGGCCATGGTATAAACTATTATTTGCATCGCTGCCCTTTGAAATATCCGGTCATTTCTGTAGTCCGCTCTCTCCCCATTCAAAGTGCTCTTAGAAGTCCTTGTTGTTTGTTGTTTTTTAAAATGTATTTTTATTAAAGATTTTCTTGGTTTACAAAAGTACTGTATGTGCAATGTCTCTCTCTCATTTCCCCCCCTCCAAGTAACATTTTTTACAGGTCAGTTTCATTTGTTGAGACATTTGGAAGTTTTTATGTCCGTTACTTAAGTTGCTTTTATTCTGCTTTGAAAAAGAAAAAGAAAAGGGGGGGGGGAGCCAAATGTTGAGAAGACCAACTGCGGAAAAGAATGACAGCTTGGAGAAAGGATTGCAGTTTGGAGAAGACTTAAGCAGCAGGAATCCCCAGAGGCTCTTCCTTCTGTCAGGCATCGCCTTTCCCCCAGTTTTGCTTGTTGTAAGGATCCCTAGCCTGAGTCTCTTGCATGTGTGAATATCCCCCATCCTTGGTTTGTGTGTGCATTGGGGTTATTCTTGTATTCACTTATGCAAAGAAAAGATCCTGCACTGCGTGTCTCAGGCCTGATCAAACAACTTTGGCAGACGCAGCAAGGCTGTTGTTTAAAGAGAAAGTAAGCAGAGAAGCAACTCCACACGAGGCAGGCTTTGGAAGGTTAAATAGCAAAAGGTTTATTTGGTAACGCTCTGTCGGAATGCCACTTGACTCGCAAGGGCATGTCAATGCCAGCATTTTCGTTTTAAACAGTTCTCTCAAAGTGAGGCTCCACTTTCCCAAATGCCCCTGCGAGGCAAGGACAACCACCCACCCACCCACCAGCCTGGGGAAACCAAGGCTATGGACCACAGCATGTTCTGGTCAGGGCCTGCCTGTCAGAGCCAGCTTCACATGCCATTGGTTTGCCTGGGTGTTGAGGAAATACCCATCCATCTGCAGCCCTTGTATGCAAGAAAATGATTCGGGTGATAGGGAAAATTCTCAGGGAGAAATATCCATTGTTCAAGGCACAACCTGCCCGTACCCCTCACTTCCCTAACTTTGCCTTTGGGGGCCGCCATTTTCAAGGGTTGCCCAACTGAGTCGCTGAGCAGAGATGAGTTGGAAGGCTCGGTGGTCTCTGTTTCGAAACATAGAATGATAGAATTGTAGAGTTGGAAGGGACCATTAGAGCAGTGTTTCCCAACCTTGGGCCTCCAGCTGTTTTTGGACTGCAACTCCCATCATCCCTAGCTAGCAAGACCAGTGGTCAGGGATGATGGGAATTGTAGTTCAAAAACAGCTGGAGGCCCAAGGTTGGGAAACACTGCATTAGAGTCATCTAGTCCAACCCCCTGAAATGCAGGAATCTTGCCCAACATGAGGCTCGAATCCATGACCTGAGATTAAGGGTCTCATGCTCTACCAACTGGGCTTTGAAGACACTCGAACTCGGGATGCAAGAGAGAAACATGGTAAGAGGAAAGAATGCTTGGCAAATCCAAACCGTTATCAACTCCCGCCCGGAAACCTACATCCCCACTGTGGAAGGATGTGTGGATCCAGAATTGGCCTCCACAGTCACGTACAGACTCATTGTTAAAACTGTGTTTATGGAAGACAACAACAAGAAGAAGAGTTTGGATTTGATATCCCACTTTATCACTACCCTAGGGAGTCTCAAAGCGGCTAACAATCTCCTTTTCCCTTCCTCCCCCACAACAAACACTCTGTGAGGTGAGTGGGGCTGAGAGACTTCAGAGAAGTGTGACTAGCCCAAGGTCACCCAGCAGCTGCATATGGAGGAGCGGGGAATCGAACCCAGTTCACCAGATTACGAGTCCACCGCTCTTACCCACTACACCACACTGGCTCTCTTACTTGGCTACGAGTGATCGCCAAAGAAGAAGAAGAAATTTGGGGGCTGGCGGTCCTTCAGTCTTGATTACCTATGTCAGCTTTCCCCAACTTAGTGCCCTCCAGACTCCAGCTCCCATCTTCTTCCCAAAGTTCAGGGATGGTGGGAGTTGCAACCCAAAACATCTGGAAGGCAACAAGGTTGAGGAAGGCTGTACTTGAAGGGAGGCCAGCACTGTTTGTGTGAATCTGGTCCTTAGAATGAAGACAACGCCCTCAGCAGCAAGGCACCCACTGAACTCAGAAGCTAGGAGCCCAGATAACAACATTAATTTATTGTGGCGCTGGGCTGTCAAGAAACCATTTTGTTAGCACCAGTGTGGTGAACCTTTGGCCCTCCAGACATTGATGAACCACAACTCCCATCAGCCCCAGGAAGCAGACCCAGTGACCAGGGATGATGGGAGTTGTAGTGCATTAACATGAGGAGGTTCAGGGATGAGTTCTTGATGGATTTCATCATTTTATTAAGGGGTGTCCTTGTGGGGTTTTCTCTTGCTTGCCGTTCTTTGATCCCTTGACTAGCTTGTCAGTCCTTGAGAGTATTCCTGCCCTTTTAAGAGTTCTATGGAAGGAAGTTTTCTTTCCTGGGATAGGTGAGGCTTTACCCAGAAGAATGCTGCATTCATGGAAGAAGCCACAGCTAATGGCCTGGCTTCCATGTCCATCGTAAAGGGACAGCAGCTCTCTAAAGTTCTGGCCCTATTGGTGGGATTTATACCCACCCCTCTGTTCAGATTTCCTTCAACTGACACCAACTCCTGACAAATCACGGAAAATCCACATGCAGGTTAGTCCTTCGGTAAACTCAATTCATACACTAAATATTGGCTGATAATCAAGAGGAAGGAAAAACGGACTTGCTTGCCTCTGGGCAGATGGCATTGCTTTGAACTGGGATTTCATGTGACTTCAGGACTCAGCCAGAACCATTTTTTTTCAGTGTCAGGGTTTGACCCTGGGACATGTGAAGGAATGAGGAATGAGTGTTTCTTTGTGCATGAGCAGAGTGCTGAATGGCTACAACCAGCCTCTGCACATCTGAGCTTAAAGGGAACGGCTTCCGGGAGAGGCATGTGCAGGTGCGCTTAAACCAAAAGAGGTTGCTTTAGAAATTCAGCACCATTTCTGACATGTTCATAATAAGTAGAACTTAAAAACACATGGATCTTGATGAGTGCCAAGATGGCGAACATTGTGCTGAAACAATGATGACGACGATAATATTGTCACGATTGCTTGAGGGGCTGGGAACAAATTCTGGGGCTGATTTACCGGTATATCTAATTTCCCCAAAGGCCAGAAATCACAAGATAGTTTGAAGGCCAACGGCACGGAGGTCTGTGTCTAGAAACTCAAAACGTTCAGGCTGAAGAAAGAATCCACTAAGATCGGAAGAAGAAGGCAATGGGAGTCTGAGAAGCAGCTTTCTGTCCAGGAAGAGGTCAAAGGGTCCCCCTCACTGAGCCCGTTTCTGGGACCGCAGTTTGTGCAGCCGCAGCTGGCGAAGGCGCAAGGCGAGATCCTTGGGGACCTTGCCCCCTTTGGCCAGGATCTCCCTCAGCCGTTGCTTGGGTGTCTTTGTCAGGCGGAATTCACACAGGGTGGGGTTGTCTTCATAAGAGACACGGCAACTCCGGGTGACGGAATGGTAGCCCTCGGCCGCAGCAGTGACTTCGTACTCACCGGGGTTTAGCAGGCGCCAGTAGTCCCCGTCGAAAGCTGATAGGGTGAGAAGGAAAGGGGAGTTAAGGGAAGCATCAAGCTTCAGGCGGATAAGGCGGTGGTTCCCAATTTTTTTTGACAACCCCCACTCCACTCCAGAAGAAGAAGAAGAAGAAGAACAAGAACAAGAACAAGAAGAACAAGAAGAAGAAGAGTTTGGATTTGATAACCCGCTTTATCACTACCCGAAGGAGTCTCAAAGCAGCTAACATTCTCCTTTCCCTTCCTCCCCCAAACAAACACTCTGTGAGGTGAGTGGGGCTGAGAGACTTCTTTGAGTGTGACTAGCCCAAGGTCACCCAGCAGCTGCATGTAGAGGAGCGGAGACGCGAACCCAGTTCACCAGATTACGAGACTACCGCTCTTAACCACTACACCACACTGGCTCTCATCCCCAGTGCCCCTATGGGATGTAGCACCACTGAAGCAGTCAAATACAACAGTTCCTGCTTGCCCAGAGTGGACACACAGGGGAATGTTGCCCCAGCCATTAGGACTTCCTGTCACGCCTGGTCTGGAGCATCCTCCCCATGTTTGTGACCGGGTAGATTGGCGTGACCCTGGCAGGCCCTATAACAGGGCCAGTCATGCAGCCATCTTCCTCTTGACTCTCTTGATCCCATCTCTTCTCGATGCCTTTTGCTGTCTGCTGGCTCTTAGCCAGCAGCACATGGGCTCATCCCTCACAGGAACCCAGACTTTTCTCTGTAACTGTAACTACAAGCTAAAGCCTGCCTTCAGGACCATACTGTGAACTGAATGTAAATAAACCTTATCATTACTCTTAAAAGAAGACTCTTGTGTCATTATTGTTTTTAAGATTGAACTAAAGGGGACGCGGGTGGCGCTGTGGGTTAAACCACAGAGCCTAGGACTTGCTGATCAGAAGGTTGGCGGTTCGAATCCCCGCGACGGGGTGAGCTCCCGTTGCTCGGACCCTGCTCCTGCCAACCTAGCAGTTCGAAAGCACGCCAGTGCAGGTAGATAAATAGGTACCGCTCTGGCGGGAAGGTAAACGGCGTTTCCGTGCGCTGCTCTGGTTCGCCAGAAGTGGCTTAGTCATGCTGGCCACATGACCCGGAAGCTGTACGCCAGCTCCCTCGGCCAGTAAAGTGAGATGAGCGCTGTATCCCCAGAGTCGGCCACGACTGGACCTAATGGTCAGGGGTCCCTTTACCTTTAAAGGGGATTGACCAGAAACAAGCCAATCTGGACAAACCAAACTGGATTGCTTAACTCAAATGATTCTCATGAATCTATCAACTAGCTTCCAGTAATGTGCAAAGGCATCTGCTCTGCTACAAGCTCTCTACTGTGAGTGAGGGAAGATAATATTTAATCAATATATCCTCTCCTGCTATCCTCAACATTTCCACACTGGCCCAGGGATGACCAAAGTCCGTTTTGGGGGCCTAATATGGTCGGTTTAATCTTGCCCAAGTGGCAATTTATTTCCAGGGGTAAAATCCTAAAAAAACACCTCAACAACTATAAAAAAACCCTCAACCCTATAAATCTGGCCCTCTCTGGAAAACGTTTGGACACCACCGCATGAGAAGCATTATCCAGAATAGGAGTTTGCACGACCCACTAAAGAAGATAATAACACAATAAAATTCAAAAGAGTAACAATTAATTGCACATTTACGCAAAAGCCATTTAATACTATTTCATTTGACTGCTTGGAAGACCCTAAGGGAGTCCACCTCTCGAACCTTGATATACAACTAGAGCTGGAAGGAACATAGGAAGCCAACTCATCATTGAATTTAGATCTGGAATAGACCCCAAGGGTCATCTAGCTGAACCCCCTGAACCAGACCTTTGCTCCATTCAACTCAGTACAGTCTGCACTGACTGGCAGCAGCTCTCCAAGGTTTCAGGCCAAGGACATTTCCTGCCCTAATTGGAGATGCTGTTGAGGATTGAACCTTCTGAATGCCAAGCAGGTGCTCTATCACAGCTACAGCCCTTCACCAAGGGATCCACCAGTTTTGGTCCTCTCGCTTTCTGCCCCCCATGTTAGATTCTGTTCTCCACATTTCTGCAGCGATCTGCAATTTTTTTAAATTGTGGAAATTCTTGCGCATTTCAATGCAAATTTCCCCCAATGAGAGCATTTGTGTATGCAGTTTTAACTAACGTGCGCCATTCTGAAAGCAGTTTCTCCTAATGTTGTACATTTTTGTATGCTCATTTCACTAATGTACTCATTTTTTGGACACTTTCTCCTGCCACTTGCATTTCCATAAACATCCTTTGGTTGAATAATAATAATAATAATAATAATAATAATAATAATAATTTATTATTTATATCCCGCCCATCTGGCTGGGCCTCCCCAGCCACTCTGGGCGGCTTCCAAAAGAATATTAAAATACTATAATACATCAAACATTAAAAGCTTCCCTAAAGAGGGCTGCCTTCAGATGTCTTCTAAAAGCCTGGTAGTTGTTGTTCTCTTTGACATCTGGTGGGAGGGTGTTCCACAGGGAAGGCGCCACTACCGAGAAGGCCCTCTGCCTGGTTCCCTGTAACTTGGCTTCTCGCAGTGAGGGAACTGCCAGAAGGCCCTTGGTGCTGGACCTCAGCGTCTGGGCAGAATGATGGGGGTGGAGACGCTCCTTCAGATATACTGGACCGAGGCCATTTAGGGCTTTAAAGGTCAGCACCAACACTTTGAATTGTGCTCGGAAATGTACTGGGAGCCAGTGTAGGTCTTTCAAGACCGGTGTTATGTAGTCTCTGCGGCCGCTCCCAGTCACCAGTCTAGCTGCCGCGTTCTGGATTAGTTGTAGTTTCCGGGTCACCTTCAAAGGTAGCCCCACGTAGAGCGCATTGCAGTAATCCAAGCGGGAGATAACCAGAGCATGCACCACTCTGGCAAGGCAGTCCGCAGGCAGATAGGGTCTCAGCCTGCGTACCAGATGGAGCTGGTAAACAGCTGCCCTGGACACAGATTTGACCTGTGCCTCCATGGACAGCTGTGAGTCCAAAATGACTCCCAGGCTGCGCACCTGGTCCTTCAGGGGCACAGTTACCCCATTCAGGACCAGGGAATCCTCCACACCTGCCCGCCTCCTGTCCCCCAAAAACAGTACTTCTGTCTTGTCAGGATTCAACCTCAATCTGGAGAGGTTGCATGGCACATATTGGCTAAGTGCGGGTTTCAAAGGATGTTTTACGATACGATACAATATCTTTATTGTCATTGTCCCATACAGAACAATGCAATTGAAAAATCTACATAAGACATTCAATACCCCCTAAAACCTCTGAAACCCCATTTTAAAATACAATATACTCCCATAGAGACTTTTTATACTGCGTTTAAAACCAGAATTGCATTTGGGTAGAAAGTGTTTCTCAGGCGGCTAGTCCTAGTCTTTCTAACCCTGTACCTTCTTCCAGAAGGCAGAAGCTGAAAGAGATCATTTCCGGGGTGCACACTATCCTGCGCTATCTCTGCAGCTTTCTTATGGCACCTGGAAGCATAGATTTGATCCAAGGTGGGAAGAGTGCACCCAATTATTCTCTCCGCAGTCTTTACAACCCTGGACAGCTTTGGTTTTCCCCTGACCGTGCAGCTCCCAAACCACACACACAGACCCTAAGTTAATACACTTTCCACAGTACAATGGTAAAATGCCATCAACAGGTCCTTTGAGAGATTGTTTTTCATCGTGCTGTTTCATAGAGTGAGATTTGGGTGGATCTGCCTTCAGATGTGAACTGTACCTGTCCGAATGTCATGGTTGATGCCATCCACCGAAATGATGGCGTCCGCAATGCCCTGCTCCGTGTCTTTGTCTCGGACGATGCCTTTGATGCCCCTTCGGGTCTGTAACGAGACGCCTGGTTAGCACCACATTGACTGAAAGGACCTGGCCTTTGAGACTGAGCAACCCATGTGCCCAGCAGCAAAGCGAAAGAAAGAAATCAATGGGGTGCCACCTGGTCCTGCCTTCCCCCGTGGGAGACGCCTTCTTCTTACCTGCTCCATGTAGACCAGCAAGGACTCCTTGTTGTTCTCCCATTCCCGGGGCAGCTCCGACTCGTGTGGGAACTTGTCACAGGACAATTCGATGGTGATCTCAAAACAGTTGGTGTGAAGGTAACTGAAGTCGTTCATACCTGCAGGTCGAAAGATGCAAGGCCAGAGGGCTTTTTAAATTTTTATTTTACTAACATATAAAACACATACATAGACATTTACACAATACACGTACACAAGGCACTACCTTCTTTTCATAACATAAAACATACCTACATTACTCTATATAATACCTACCTATACTGTGCATAATGTGACACAGGTGGCTCTGTGGGTTAAACCACAGAGCCTAGGACTTGCCGATCAGAAGGTTGGCGGTTCGAATCCCCGTGACGGGGTGAGCTCCCGTTGCTCGGTCCCTGCTCCTGCCAACCTAGCAGTTCGAAAGCACATCAAAGTGCAAGTAGATAAATAGGTACCGCTCCAGCGGGAAGGTAAATGGCGTTTCCGTGCGCTGCTCTGGTTCGCCAGAAGCGGCTTAGTCATGCTGGCCACATGACCCAGAAAAACTGTCTGCGGACAAACGTCGGCTCCCTTGGCCAATAAAGCGAGATGAGCGCTGCAACCCCACGGGTCCCTTTACCTTTTTATACTGTACATATCAACATACCTACACACCTACCCCACACGGACACCCACCAAGTGACTTGACCTCCAGCCGTTCTTGTTACACTACTTTATTTTTCCAACTAGCTTAAACACATTTCATTATTTCTTTAATATCTTCTTCTATCTTAACTTTACTCTCCTTTCACGCTAATCATTTTCTGGATTCACTCAGTATCTGTCAGAAATTTTACTTTTTCCACATAAATTTTGATTGCCCACTCCTTATTCACTTTTTGTACCATAGCTCCTCTTATCCTCCCTGTTAGTTCGGCAATATTGAAGTACAGTGGTACCTCAGGTTACATACGCTTCAGATTACAGACTCTGCTAACCCAGAAATAGTACCTCGGGTTAAGAACTTTGCTTCAGGATGAGAACAGAAATCGCACGGCGGCAGTGGGAGGCCCCATTAGCTAAAGTGGTGCTTCAGGTTAAGAACAGTTTCAGGTTAAGAACGGACCTACAGAACAGATTAAGTATGTAACCAGAGGTACCACTGTATGCACAATTCTATGATTCTAAGGGAACATAAACTGAAATATGGCACACTGGTGTCCACAAACAATCCCATCCCACTGGGGACAGTGGGGTTCTGAGATAACATGTAGGATCCCAACCTAATCCACTCACTTCCAGGCACTGTGTGCCAGTTCGCCCCATTGATGATGTTGCCTTCCCTCATGAAATCATCGTAGTGGCAGAGGCGCCGGTCGTCATCCACCATGGCCAAGTTGGAAGTGGCGTAAACTGTTGCCAGCCACCGGAAGACGGCATCGTCGGCTGTGGGAGTCAGCTCCTGGGCCTTCCAGTAGGTGCGCGTCATGTCGAAGGGGTAGGTGACCACCAGCTCCCCTCCGTGCAGGTTGGCGCTGAGCATGAAAGGGTAGCGCTGCATCCAGTTGATGACTGCCCGAGTCTCTGGGGCCACCTGTTGCGGCAGAAACAGGGTTAGTATGCTTGGCGCTGTGGGTTAAACCACAGAGCCTAGGACTTGCCAATCAGGAGGTCGGCGGTTCGAATCCCTGCGACGGAGTGAACTCCCGTTGCTCGGTTCCTGCTCCTGCCCACCTAGCAGTTCTAAAGCACGTCAAAGTACAAGTAGATAAATAGGTACCACTCCGGCGGGAAGGTAAATGGCATTTCCGTGCACTGCTCTGGTTCGCCAGAAGCGGCTTAGTCATGCTGGCCACATGACCCGGAAGCTGTACACCGGCTCCCTCGGCCAATAAAGCGAGATGAGTGCCGCAACTCCAGAGCCGGCCACGACTGGACCTAATGGTCAGGGGTCCCTTTACCTTTTACTTCATGTTGAGTCCGCTTCAGGTTGCATTTTTTTGGGTTGCGGACTGCCGAAACCCGGAAGTACCAGAACGGGTTACTTCCGGGTTTTGGCAGTCGCGCATGTGCAGAAACACTAAATCACGCTTTGCGCAAAAGCACCGAATCGCAAGGCGCGGGTTTCGAATGCTGCGGGTTGTGAACATGCACCCCGCACGGATCACGTTCACAACCCGAGCATCCACTGTATGTCCCTGGTTACAGGTAGCCCGGTCACGGGGATTCAGGCATGGCGTTTGCAACCGCGCCGATACTGCTTGTGCATGATGGGGTTTCATGCCTGAGGAGCGATGCAAGGATGGCCCTACTATGAGGCAGAGTGAAGCAGCGGCCTTGGGCGGCAGATGCTGAAGTGCAGGGAGGAGATGGAGACCGGAGTGCCCTGTACCCCCTTTGCTTTTCTGCTGAAGAATACAATGAAATTAATGAACTCTTTCAGAAGACCATGGAAGGTTATAATCCACAGACTCCAAAGGATTCAGAATCCTTCTCTCTGGCAAGTCTTCCAGTGGTTCATACAGAGGAACCTCGGTTGTCAAACGTACAGTGGTACCTCTGGATGCGAATGGGATCTGTTCCGGAGCCCCATTCGCATCCTGAGTAGAACGTAATACGCGTCTGTGCGTGCGCGGGTCGCGTTTTGCCGCTTCCGCGCATGCGCGTGACGTCATTTTGAGCGGATAGGAAGTTCCTACAGAGGGTGGTGAATATAGCACAAGATATGGGCTGTCCCGTGAATCCACTGGATGAAATAGCGGAAGAACGTTGCCCCAGGAGAGAGAGGAAAATATCAGGCATGATTCACACCCTGGCCAGCACTTTCTCGCTCTCCTGTCCTCGCAGAAGATATGGAAGCATGACTAGTCGCACCAACGTGGGCTGTTAGGCTGCTGAATGAAAAGATAACAACAGGGCAACTGACTTTTGGGTTTGGTGGGTGTGCGTCAGTAAACGAGGGGAATTAAGACTAAGAGAGCTGAGTAGGGGTGCTCGTGTAATCTCACTGTATACAAGTTGTACAACTGACAATAAAGTATTTCAATATTTCAATTTCTGTATGTGAGAAGACGCCATCTTGCCCTTCACCTCTGGCAATGAAATCTCTTGAGCCGGCCCTGAGAGGACATCACTGTTGCCACTGAAGGCTTGGAGAAGGTATGCAGGCTGATGTGGGGCAGATGTGAGCTGTGCTGGCCTTAAATATGACGCCAGCCAGGACTCATCTGCCCATACCCGGGGGTCAGAGGGATGGGGGCAGATCCGTGATCTCACCGTGGCATTGGGGAAAGTGTAATACTCTGGGATGGGGATGTAGTGGTTGGGGAACTTGTGTGGCACCATCTCGTTGTCCTCTGCGTCCCACAGGGCCGTGTTGAGGTCAGCAAAGTTGTGGTTGAGGTCGAAGCCTTCGTATGTCCAACGACCCATCGCCCAGCCGGACAGCTCAGAGCCCTATGCGGGAAGGAAGGGAAGAACGTCAGGGCATGGCTTTGAGTGATAACCCCTTCCTGCCTTCTCTACTCGGCTTCTAGGGACACGGGTGGCACTGTGCTCTAAACCACCAAGCCTCCTGGGCTTGCCGATCAGAAGGTCGGCGGTTCAAATCCCTGCAATGGGGTGAGCTCCCGTTGTTCGGTCCCTGCTCCTGCCAACCCAGCAGTTCGAAAGCACACCAGTGCAAGTAGATAAATAGGTAGATAACCTTCCCGCCGGAGTGGTACCTACTTAACTACTTGCACCTATTTATCTACTTGCACTTTGACGTGCTTTTGAACTGCTAGGTTGGCAGGAGCAGGGACTGAGCAACGGGAGCTCACCCCGTCGCAGGGATTCGAACCGCCAACCTTCTGATCGGCAAGTCTTAGGTTCTGTGGTTTAACCCACAGCTCCACCCGCATCCCACCTTCCGTCTTAGCCAGGTTTTAAACTGCCCCGCACCTGACATCCCAGATGCCCTTGGAGCTCCAGCGCAGAGACCCAGAGGTCAAGCTCACTGAGAGAGGCACATCATGCCACGCCCATAGGTTGACCATAGCGTTTTCTTGCGCTCTCCTGCTAACATCCCTGCGCCAGCGCCTCTGCTCCACCCACCAGTTTGTAGGCCGTCTCGTAGCCGTCCGGGTTCATGGAGGGCAGCAGGTGGATTCGGGTCTCTGTGACCAGGCGTACAATGCGAGGGTTGCCCTGCTTGTACTCGTGGCAGAGGTATTCCATCAGGTTGAGCAGCAGCTCCCGGCCCAGAGCCTCGTTGCCATGCATGCCAGCGACATAGCGGAACTCGGGCTCCCCTGGAGAAGAGCGCAAGAGAGCATGTCAAAAAGGCTTTCCTGAAGGGGATATTGAAATCAGAATAGAGCGGGTCGTGATGGCTTTCCAGGAGGGTATACTGAATCGAGGAGAGCTTTTCCCCGCCCCCCTAGATTTTATTAAAGTTTGAAAAAGGATATTCTTGGGATTGAAGGGTGCATGGATGTTGCATCCTCCTCATGCCACCCTGCCACAACGGGCTGGAAGTGTGCCCTGAGGAGGTACAGTGTACACTCGGGTTGCGAACGTGATCCGTGCGGGATGCACGTTCTCAGCCCGCAGCATTTGCAACCTGCAGTGGCATGTCTGCGCATGCGCGGGTTGCGATTTGGTGCTTCTGCACATGCGCAAAGTGCGATTTAGTGCTTCTGCACATGCTTGGCCACTGAAACCTGGAAGTAACCCATTCCGGTACTTCCGGGTTTTGGCAGGTCTGTAACCCAAAAAAACACAACCTGAAGCATCTGTAACCCGAGGTATGAATGTATATGGGCAATCTGTCTGGAAGACATTTGTATTTTGAGGTGTTAGTGATCTGACATAGCTATCCTTCCTTTTCCCTTTCTTTTATTAAGCTCTTTGACGGCATCAGAACAGCCTCTAACGTCCTAATCTGTTAGAAGGAAGTGATAGTGATGAGTACCTCCTTTGATGTTGGACATTGTTTTGAGAAAGTAAGGCATTGGGAAGAGGTGGTTAGTGAATAATCTGCACGTAGCTAGTGATCTGCAAGCCACACAGGTTAGCTATCTGAGGTCCAGTGCCGAGGGCCTTCTGGCGGTTCCCTCACTGCGAGAAGCCAAGTTACAGGGAATCAGGCAGAGGGCCTTCTCAGTAGTGGCACCCACCCTAGTGGAACGCCCTCCCACCAGATGTCAAAGAGAACAACAACTACCAGACTTTTAGAAGACATCTGAAGGCAGCCCTGTTTAGGGAAGCTTTTAATGTTTAATAGACTATTGTATTTTAATATTCTGTTGGAAGCCACCCAGAGTGGCTGGGGAAACCCAGCCAGATGGGCAGGGTGTAAATAATAAATTTGAAGGGTGTATGCCTGTTATGTCCTCCTCATGCTACCCGGCCGGTGCCCCCCCCCGATAAATGCGCCCAGGGCCATCGCTCCAGCAGCGCCCCAAGCTAAACCACTGCCTTGAAGTAGCAGACAAGTCAGGTAAGAGTGGCAGATCAGGATGCCTGCAAAGGCTTGTGTGAACACAGTCATTCTAGGCTACTACGAAATTGGCTTGGATAAGGTTCAGCTCCTTCACTCACCAACTTCATGCTGTCCAGGATTGTCGGAAATCTCCATGACGTACATTTTCAGTCCCAGGTAGCTCTTCCCGATGCTGTATACCCGGGTGATGTTGGGACAGGCGTCGTTCACCTTCTTCATCAGCTGCGCGGGGGGAAATGTCACATGTCATTCTCCCAGTTCTGGTCGCCGCCATCAAAGCCAGCACAAGACATTTTGATGCCTGAGGCAAAGGGCAAAATGGCGCCCACAATGGCCCACACCCATTCCACATACTGTAATGGATTGCAACGGCACCAGATTTAGGACGGTGCAGGCAATTACCCCACACAGGGCACCAATCCGAGGGGGTGCATAATTATAATGATAATAATACCTACCTTTATAAAGGTACCTACTGAAATAAAAAAATTAAGGTCTTATATAGATGTTCATAAATGTACCAAGCAAACACATACATAAATATATAACCCACATGTCTGAAGCAGCACAGGAAAACAGCCATGAAGCCATTTTGGCTCCCAAACTGACCAAATGTTTTCTCTGCAAAGTCAGAGGAAAATGGAAACGCCTCCCCATTGTCTTTTCCTTCACAAATCCTGGCTTAAGGATATGTCTGTGTAGGAATAGGGTGAGCCTGTGACCTGGCTCAGGAACTAAGTATTTATCATTAGAAAAGACTGGCCAGGCTCCCCAGGGTGTCCAGTCAAGTAAGCGTTAACAGGTAACCTGCCAGACAGGAGGTAAACAACGCACTCAGATTTCTATCTGTGATGTATCTGGGGGTGGTCTGGGACTCCAAGGCGGGCAATTTAAAATGTCTATATAAGGGCGGGCACACCTTGGTTCGGGGTCCTCCTCCTTTCCTGCATGTGAGGGGAGCACCCTGTTGCAACAGTTCAATAAAGATCAGGCTTACAAGCTGCTTTGCTTCTCAGTATTCTCTGGTTGGCCTCTGTTCTTTTCTTTGACCGATGGAGAACCTGCAAAGGACTCTATAAGGGCCCTTGTGTCTCCCATAAGGGAATAAGGGCAGATTTTCATTTATTACAATATTCAAAGTTAGGCCTCTAGTCAGACAAGTGATTGGGTTGTAGCTTCCAGATCAAGTACATGGGAAGCCCCACACAGAGTGCATTGCAAGCTTTTCACAGCCCTAGAGATGTTCCTTTCTCTCCATCTTGCAACCCACCTTCCTCATGTCCTTGTAGTTGTGGTGCCTGAAGTCCAATTTGTCTGTGGTCACAGGCGCCATGTCCCACGAGTAGATGTTGTTGGGGTCTGGAAAGACAAGAGGGAGGAGGATGGCAAAGCTTTGGGTAACACATATCACTGACTGCCCAGCTGTTTTGGCAACAGGGTGGGGGCAACTACAGTGGTACCTCGGGTTAAGTACTTAATTCGTTCCAGAGGTCCGTTCTTAACCTGAAACTGTTCTTAACCTGAAGCACCACTTTAGCTAATGGGGCCTCCTGCTGCTGCTGTGCCGCCGGAGCCCGATTTCTGTTCTCAACCTGAAGCAAAGTTCTTAACCTGAAGCACTATTTCTGGGTTAGCGGAGTGTGTAACCTGAAGCGTATGTAACCCGAGGTACCACTGTAGAGCGGTTGGTTGGATGGCAGGAAGGAAGCACTTTTTGGTAAAGTGAGCAACTCGGCCCAAACCAACCAATGCAATCGTACGCAGATCCCAGGACATGGGGGGGGGGGAATTGGTTTCCTTTGCAATTCGAGGCGATCCTCACTTGCTTTTCCTAAACAAATATGCAAAGCGATCAATGAGCTATCTTTAGATCTGCAACCTCTGTTCACTCCTCCTCTTGCTCTGGGCACCATAAGGATGTAAGAAGAGCCTGCTGGATCAGGCCACGTCCCCATCCAGTCCAGCGTCCTGTTCTCACAGTGGCCAGCCGGATGCCTGTGGAAACCCATAAGTAGGATTCAAAGGTTGCTGCCTCCAGCTGTGGAGGGCAGAGCGTATAGTGGTACCTCAGGTTAAGAACTTAATTCGTTCCAGAGGTCTGTTCTTAACCTGAAACTGTTCTTAACCTGAAGCACCACTTTAGCTAATGGGGCCTCCCACTGCTGCTGCGCCGCCACTGTGCAATTTCGGTTCTCATCCTGAAGCAAAGTTCTTAACCTGAGGTACTATTTCTGAGTTAGTGGAGTCTGTAACCTGAAGCATCTGTAACCTGAAGCATATGTAACCCGAGGTAGTTACTGTGGCTAGCAGCCTTTGATAGCCCTCTCCTCTGTGAACTTCTCTACTTCTCTTTTAAAGCCATCTAATCCAGAAACAGGCAGCTAGACTGGTGACTGGGAGCGGCCGCCAGGACCATATAACACCGGTTCCTGAAAGACCTACATTGGCTCCCAGTATGTTTCCGAGCACAATTCAAAGTGCTGACTTTTAAAGCCCTAAATAGCCTCGGGCCCTGTATACCTGAAGGAGCGTCTCCACCCCGATCATTCAGCCCGGACACTGAGGTCCAGCTCCAACCCTGGAGCCAGGAATGCCCATGAGATTCGAACACAGGACCCTCACCTGGCACTACGCAACCCAGGACCTCCAGCCTCAGGCAGATGGTCCCATTCTCAAACCACGTTTGGGGGTTGATGCGGATGTATCGTGCCACCACTGAAGTGGGGAAGAGGCCGAGGACCGGCGTCTCGGGGTCCTTGTTTCCGGAGAAGACCTGGAGCAGGTGAGAGAGAGGGAGTCATTTTGAGGCTACCCATCCAGCAAAATAGAATCATAGCATTGTAGAGTTGGAAGGGATCCTGAGGGTCATCTAGTCCAACCCCCCCATAATGAAGGAATCTCAGGCATCCCTGACAGATGGCCACCCAACCTTTGCTTAAAAGCCTCCAAGGAAGGAGAGTCCGAACAGCTCTTGCTGTCAGAAAGTTCTTCCTGATGTTTAGTTGGAATCTCCTTCCTTGTAACTTGAAGCCATGGGTTCGAGTCCTACCCTCCAGGACAGGAGAAAACAAACTTGCTCCATCTTCCATATGACAGCCCTTCAGATATTTGATGATGCCTCTCCTATCTCCTCCCAGTCTCCTCTTTTCACTGGCTCCCGGTGGAGTACAGGGTCATGTTTAAGGTGCTGGTTTTGACCTTTAAAGCCCTATGCGGCCTAGGACCCTGTACCTACGGGACCGTCTCTCCAGGTATGCCCTGCGGAGGACCTTAAGGTCCACAAATAACAACACTTTGGAGGTCCCAAGTCGCAAGGTGTTTAGATTGGTCTCAACTAGGGCCAGGGCCTTTTCAGTACTGGCCCCGACGTGGTGGAATGCTCTGTCACAAGAGACCAGGGCCGTGCGGCACTTGACATCTTTCTGGAGGGCCTGCAAGACAGAGCTGTTCCACCTGGCCTTTGGTTTGGACTCGGTCTGACCCTTCTGTTTCCCTTCCCTTATGTCTTGATTTATCAGCTACTTTAAAATGAGGCTGCATTTTAAATTGCATTTTAACCTGTATTTTAAATTGGTCCCCTCCTCTTTCCCCCCTATTATGTTTTTACTGTGATTTTATTGGTGTTAGCTGCCCTGAGCCCGGCTCTGGCCGGGGAGAGTGGGGTATAAATAAAATTTATTATTACTATTATTTTCCAGGTTAAACATACCCAGGTCCTTCAACTGTTCCTCATAAGGCTTGGTTTCCAGACCTTTTTTCCAGACTTCTGTTGATGCAACCTAGAATAGCATTAGGTTTTTTTTGTTGCTGCATCACACTGTGGACTCATGCTAAGCCTGTGGTCCGACTAAGACCCCTAGAAATTAAGCAATGAGTCTGGTTCTCTGGAACAGCTTTGTAGTTCGACACAGCTGGAGGGCACTAGGTCAGTGAAAGCAGCAATGCGTGATCGTATCTTGAACCTGGGACCTTGTGCATGCAAGGGGAGGTGCTCCTGCACATTTTCAGGGCTTCAGCATTTCCTACACTGAATGGCAGCAGCTCTCCAAGATTTCGTGCAGGACTCTCTCTGCTGAAGATGCCAGTGGGGAATGAACTTGAGATGTTCTGCATGCCAAGCAGATGTTCTGCCGCTGAGCTACTGCTCCCTCCCTAAATGGGAGGCAGTGAGGCCCCTGGTTTCCTTTGGCAAAAGGGCACTGAGGCCCTTGATTTCCCTTTGGTTGGCTTGGCACATCCTCCTGGCACAAGACCCAGGTTTTGGATCTCTGCTACTGTCCTGGTGCCAAGACCCAGCTCAGTCAAACTATTGTTCATTTGCTTCTTAAGGAAGGAGGGTAGCTCTTAATGCTGAAAAGGCCACATGGAACACTTCAGGTTATGTGTACACGGCGATGTGTGCATTGATAGCCTTGCGGAAGAAGTGCCAGAATTTGGACAGGGTAAGGGATTCTGAGAATCGCAGCTCCCATTGCAATTATAAGAAGAAGAAAAGGAGTTTCTATCCCGTATGACCTCCAAGGAAAGTTTGACAAAGAAAAGACATAGAACTGGAAGCAACCACGAGGGTTATCTAGTCCAACCCGCTGCAATGCGGGACTCTTGTCCAACTTGGGACTTGAACCCACGACTTTAAGAGTCTCATGCTGTACTATTAAAACAACACACAAGAACTAAGATAGCAAGCAAGCAGATCCTTAACTCAGAGCCGGACCAATTTTATCAACCAAAGCTTTTGAGTTGATTAATCTACTGATTCAGACTCACAGCTTTTCTGGCTTGGGATTTAGGTTTTCTCAAGCCTGCCTGCTCCTAGGCCAGTCTGCCAATTTATGAGGGTTCTAATCTATAAAAAGCCAATTCTTTGGCTGCTCACTGCTCTCTGCAGTTAAAGTGGGTGATGGTGGCTGAGAGCCAGGTCTTCTTTGTGGTGGTACCCCAACTCTTGGATACTCAACTGATACCAGAGAAACTGGCATCGTAAGTCCAGTCAATTGAAGAGCCCGGCACCCAAAGTCCAGCCAACTGGAGAACCTGGCACCCCAAGTCCAGCCAATCAGAGACACTGGCACCCCAAGTCCAGCCAATCAGAGACCCTGGCACCCCAAGTCCGGCCAGTCAGAGACCCCGGCACCCCAAGTCCAGCCAATTAGAGAGCCTGGCATCACCAAGTCCAGCCAATCAGAGAGAGCCAGGGATTCTAGGCCCAGCCAATCGGAGAGCCTAGCATCTCATCCAGGACCCCTGAGGACCGTATGGACTCACCATCTCCTCACTCCCATTCATGCACGGCTGCCAGCTGTGAGTGTCGTTGCTGAACTGGATCTTATACGATGTTACCCAGTCATATCTGGTGGTGGAAAAGCAGAGGGAACAGGCAAATACACAAAGGTAAATCAGTTGGGGATGGGAATCTAATGAACCCATCAGAATCCCTTTCAACCCACGGTCCACATTCGCTCATGGGGAAACATCCCGGGACTTACGTCCAAATGGAGTTCAGGCCTTGTGTGATGACTCCGGTGAAACGGGTCGGCTGCCGGGCATCCACCTCCAGCCACTGGTTCTTGTTGTCATGCCCAGCGCACCAGCCGCCGTCATAGAAATCGCCATCGTTGATGCCAGACTAGAGCAGAGGAAAGCAGAGAGGAGTTGGGGTTTTGGCTGAGGACGCAGGACGCAATCAAAGGAGTTTTTTTGCTGAGAGCAGAGATTGGGTTCTGGTAGCTGAATTGGCAGGGAGGGTGTATGTGTGACTGGGGCCAGCCATACAATTGCAACAACACACCACTGGAACTGAGAGGTGCACTCCAGGTTCCTCTGCAATCTTGCAAGCAATGTTGCAAATGCGCACAGTCTGTGTTGCGAGCCAGGATGCTCTAGACTGGAGCAATATTCCTGGGTTGCGCTAGCTTACCCTGAGTCATACCATGGGTTCATCTGGCTTGTAAAGGTAAAGGGACCCCTGACTATTAGGTCCAGTCATGGCCGACTCTGGGGTTGCAGCACTCATCTCGCTTTATTGGCCTAGGGAGCCGGTGTACAGCTTCTGGGTCATGTGGCCAGCATGACTAAGCCACTTCTGGCAAACCAGAGCAGCGCACGGAAATGCCGTTTACCTTCGCGCCGGAGCGGTACCTATTCAGCTACTTGCACTTTGACGTGCTTTCGAACTGCTAGGTTGGCAGGAGCAGGGACCGAGCAACGGGAGCTCACCCCGTCACGGGGATTTGAACCGCCGACCTTCTGATCAGCAAGTCTTAGGCTCTGTGGTTTAACCCACAGCGCCACCTGCGTCCCATCTGGCTTGGCATCATCTATAAGTAACCAAACAATTAAACCCCTGTGTTGCAAGCAATTATCAGTAATATCCAAGGCAACACGATGACCAAGTACAACAATGCAATATCAATATAAAGTCTTTATATAATCTATACGGAACATTGAACAATATGAAAAACCAAATAAACAGAAATCTTATAAATCTCTGAAAATCACAATGTGCACTCTTGATGGATTCTCTTGAAAACATAGAACCAAATAAACAAGTTTTTGAAAGTCTTTGTAGACTATGCAAGTCTCTGAAAGAAGCAATAGGTCAGATTCTTATCTGATGAAAACAAGCCTTAAAGCTTTGTTTTATGACGTCCAATACTGCTGAAGTGGTCCGCTAACAGAAGTAGTGAACAGTGATTCCAGATATACCCACTGTTTCCTGGAATTCTTCTTCAGCACAGCAGAAGGATACAGAAATGCTTCATAAACCCATCTATGCTATGAAGCAGTGGTCATAAAATTATGTAACCACTTGGGTCATCGTATTGCCTTGGATATTACTGATAATTGTTTGCAACACAGGGGTTTAATTGTTTGGCATCATCTATGGCAGTGGTCCCCAAACTTTCTTGGGCCGCAGCCCCCTTGGTTCCACAAACTCATTCCCAATGCCCCCGACCCTATAAAAAGCATTCTTCAAAATTGCAGTATGCACAACCCACTAAGGAAAATAACACCAGGGATCCGTGGGAAGCTTGGAAGCAGGACCCAAAACAGTGGCATAGCATTGTTTGCTGGCAACCGGGGTGGGTGCACAAGCACCGGGCAGGGAGGGGCACCAGTCCATCCCTCTCTGCCAATGTGGCCCCACCCCCATGGGAGCAAAGCAGAGCCATGCTGGGAGAGATCATCAGGGGGTTTGGGCTGGGTGTCTATCAATATGCGGATGATACCCAGCTCTACCTCTCTTTCAAATCGGAACCAGTGAAGGCAGTGAAGGTCCTGTGTGAGTGTCTGGAGGCGGTTGGAGGATGGATGGCAGTTAATGGATTGAGGTTGAATTCTGACAAGACAGAAGTACTGTTCTTGGGGGACAGGAGGTGGGCGGGTGTGGAGGACTCCTTGGTCCTGAATGGGGTAACTGTGCCCCTGAAGGACCAGGTGCGCAGCCTGGGAGTCATTCTGGACTCACAGCTATCCATGGAGGCGCAGGTCAATTCTGTGTCCAGGGCAGCTGTTTACCAGCTCCATCTGGTACCCAGACTGAGACCCTCCCTGCCCGCGGACTGTCTCACCAGAGTGGTGCATGCTCTGGTTACTCCTGCTTGGATTACAGCAATGCGCTCTGTGTGGGGCTTCCTTTGAAGGTGACCTGGAAACTACAACTAATCCAGAATGTGGCAGCTAGACTGGTGACTGGGAGCGGCCTCCGAGACCACATAACACCGGTCTTGAAAGACCTACACTGGCTCCCAGTACATTTCCGAGCACAATTCAAAGTGTTGGTGCTGACCTTTAAAGCCCTAAATGGCCTCGGTCCAGTATATCTGAAGGAGCGTCTCCACCCCCATCATTCTGCCCAGACACTGAGATCCAGCTCCGAGGGCCTTCTGGCGGTTCCCTCCCTGTGAGAAGCCAAGTTACAGGGAACCAGGCAGAGAGCCTTCTCGGTGGTGGCACCTACCCTGTGGAATGCCTTCCCACCAGATGTCAAAGAGAAGAACAACTACCTGATTTTTAGAAGACATCTGAAGGCAGCCCTCTTTAGGGAAGCTCTTAATGTTTAACAGACTACTGTATTTTAATACTTTGTTGGAAGCCGCCCAGAGTGGCTGGGGAATCCCAGCCAGATGGGCGGGGTATAAATAATAAATTCTATTCTATTCTATTTCTCCTGCCTGCCTATTTCTCCTGCCTGCCTGCACATGGGGGAGCCCAGCTGGCACATGGGGGAGCCCGACACGGCCCTTGGTAGGCAGGGAGGAGCACCTGGTGTGTGTGGGCACTTGGTTTGTGCCCGCTCAAAAATTGTGCGCCCGGGGCCATGCTACACCCCTGACCCAAACACAAGAGCAACTTTGCCCTCCTGCGATCAGTGATGTCACAAGCCAGAGTCCTGCACCCAGCCCACCTGCTGTCCTCCCAACAGCTCCTCCTGTTGGTGGATGAGGGCACTGCAAGCTGCGTGTGTTCACCTGTATGTTGAGTCTCCCACGATGGGGTCCGAGGCCCATTCGCTTGTAGCTAGAAGCCCGGAGCTGGAAGTCCTTCACCCTCAGAGACTCGAGGCCCAGCGGGGGGCATTCTGGTTAGAAATGGGAGAGGAAGAGGAGGAGGAGGAGGAGGAGGAGAGTGAGATGGGAGACAGACAGAGAGAGAGGGGAGGAAATCAACAAAATTCTCAAGATATGAGGTTTTCTCCCCAACGATTCCCCTTTGCTGGTGCCTGCTAGATGCCAAACATATCTTGGGAACTGTGGTCTATTGATGGTGCTAGGAATGGTAACTCTGTGAAGGGGTTTCCACAGTTCCCAGGATTCTTTGCAGGAGGGCATTGATGTGCTATAAATGTTTGGTGTGTCGTCTTCTCCTTTGGCGATCACTCATAGCCGAGTAAGATTGTCTTCCATAGATTATTGTTAGCCCAGAAATGGAAGCAAGAAGAAATTCCGACAAAAGAAGAATGGCAGACAAAAATAATGGACTACGCAGAATTGGACAAAATGACAGGAAGGATTCAAAACCTGCGGGACCAGAGATTTAGAGAAGATCGGAAGAAGTATATGAATTATTTGAAGAGCAACTGCAATCAACAATATACGCTAGTAGGACTACAAGACGTTTTGTAAGGAGAAATATACGAAGTGTTACAAAGTAGACAAAGATAGAGATATTGGTTATGAGTTTGAAATGTAATAGGGAAAATAAGAAATGCATACTGAGAGATTAGATTGGAAAATTTTCAGACAGGACTGATGGAAGTAAAAAAAATTGAATAAGATGTAAAAGTATGTTTAATTACTGTTGAAATGATATGTTAAAAAACTAATAAAATTATATATGTCTGTCTATCTATCATCTATCTATCTATCTATCTATCTATCTATCTATCATCTATCTATCTATCTATCTATCTATATTGTCTTCCATAAACATGGTCTTAACAGTGAGTCCGTAAGTGATTGTGGAGGCCAATTCTGGATCCACACCTCCTTCCACAGTGGGGACATTGGTTTCCAAGAGGGAGTTGATCACAGTGAGGATTTGTCAAGTGTGCCTTCCTCTTGGCACGTTTCTCCCTTTCGTCCTGAGTTTGAGTGTCTTCGAAACCCATGACACCTTTGCTAAAGGCCGTTCTCCAATTGGAGCGCTCACAGGCCAGTGTCTGCAATTGGTACAGAGGGTGTCTCTCCACGGGGCAGAGAAATAAGTTGAAATCCAAGCCCATGCGAAAGAAATTGAGCAGAGGGGTTTGCTCCTGCCTGTCTCTGTGGGAGCCTGCAATTGTAAGGGGCCGCCGAAACCGCACTGCTGTTTCTTCTACGAGTCTCTTGGATGAGTCAAAAGCACCAGAGCACAGCCTAGGCTTAAGCCGATGAGAAGTCTGACCGCACTCTTTGAAAGTGGGTCTCTCCCCCCTCCTTGCGCTTCCCCACAGCAGCCAGAAGATTATTTGTGCAGAACAAGCAGACTGAAGCAATCAAGAGGCACATTGGGGGCCAGAACTTGGGGGGGGGTGTGTGTATGGATGCGTTATAGAAAAAACCCCTCTCCTTTTCCCTTATGGGTTATCCAGGATACTGTATAGAGTCCTTAAATGGGTTCTCCATTGGCAGGAGAAAATAACAGAGGCCAACCAGAGAATATTGAGAAGCAAAGCAGCTAGTAAGCCTGATCTTTATTAAACTGTTGCAACAGGGTCCCCCGCTCACCCCACTCAGGGAGGGAGGAGAGGAACCCCAAACAATGGTGTGCAAGCCCTTATATAGATTTTCGAAACTGCCCACCCTGTAGCCCAAGACCACCCCTTCAAAACATCATACATATATCACAGAAGGAGGCGGTCTACAACAGAAATCCTGCCTGCCAGGATACCTGATAATGGTCACTGATTGCTCTACCTGGGCAGCCTGGCCAAGATGCTAAATACTCACACAAATACACCCTTGAGACAGGATTTGTGAGCAAAAAGACAATGGGAAGGCTTTCCCCATTTGCCTCCCCATTCGCAGTGGTGTCCAAACTTTTTTTAAAGAGGTCCAGATTTGATGAAGTGAAGGTCCATGAAGGCAGACCAAAGGGGTGACCAAAGTTATTAACCTGTTTTTAGGATTGATTTTTATGATTTTACACCAAAGTTGTTGAGGGATTGTTGTAGTTGTTTAGTCGTGTCCGACTCTTCATGACCCCATAGACCAGAGCATGCCAGGCACTCTTTTCCAGGGAGTCTTCTCTTCTCATGAGGTGGCCAAAGTCTTGATTTTCCTTTTTTTTGATTTTCCAAATATAACAAAATGATGAAGAAGAAGAAGAAAATCCAGGGTGGGGGGATCATAACCAAATTAAACCATAATTTTTTGGTCGACTTCCCTCCACTCCCCCCCTTGGTTCCATTATTATATACTTGCTCATGCACGTCCATAAAACCTTATATACTTAATAATCCAATTTTAAAATCTTCTTCATCTTATTACAAATGACTTTTAAAAGTTGAATGAATTTTATTATTTCGGTCACAGACCAGTTCCAGCCCACATACAATATCAAGGAAGTCATAAAACACAAACGGGATACATTTGAATTTGCAATTAGGTATAACAGGGACACTACAGATATAGCAACAGTTAAAAACTATATAAATTAAAACTTAGTCACTAACATATAACCTAAAATTATCATTTAAAACCTTTTTTCATTATGATAGCACAGCTTGCTAAGTTTTATGGCAATCACACAGAATTTGGCTACCCTTAATGTGATCTTGGACGCGGGTGGCGCTGTGGGTAAAAGCCTCAGCGCCTAGGGCTTGCCGATCGAAAGGTCGGCGGTTCGAATCCCCGCGGCGGGGTGCGCTCCCGTTGCTCGGTCCCAGCGCCTGCCAACCTAGCAGTTCGAAAGCACCCCCGGGTGCAAGTAGATAAATAGGGACCGCTTTCTAGCGGGAAGGTAAACGGCGTTTCCGTGTGCGGCTCTGGCTCGCCAGAGCAGCGATGTCACGCTGGCCACGTGACCTGGAAGTGTCTCTGGACAGCGCTGGCCCCCGGCCTCTTGAGATGGGCGCACAACCCCAGAGTCTGTCAAGACTGGCCCGTACGGGCAGGGGTACCTTTACCTTTAATGTGATCTCAGGAGCCTTGTCCTCTACCAGGGATTTTAGACATTGAAGTTCGGATTCATTTGGAGATTTATGCATAGCAGGGATAATAAATATGAAGTGTATATCCCCATAGAAATGGCAGCGTAACAAGGCATGAGAGACAGTTTCTACCTCCATCAAGCCGCAGGGGCAGACTCGTTCCGCATATGGTTTAGCCTCAAATCTGCCCTGCAATAAGGCAGATGGCAGCATGTTGAATCTAGAGAGGGTAAGTGACCGTCTGTATTTAGGTAGGTATTCGTAATTTTGACAAATAATTTGCTGGGTTAAATCCTCTCCCATTATCTTTTATTGCTGGGTGTTTATTCATCTCACTCACGTGGCACTTTTAAAAGTTATACTAACTTTTCTTTTATTCTATTTCACCTCTCACTCGCGTTTTCTCCAAACTGAAAAGCCTCAAAACGTTGAAACTTTCCCCCTTTTCTGAATCTCTTCCAAATGCCAAAACCGGAGGGGAAATAGTTTCACGCACCCCTCTCTCCTCCCCCATTCCCACTCTGCCTCTGCCACCGATAAAATGAAATCCAAATTCTGCCGCACAGTCTGCGCTCAGAGCCAAGTGTGCAGTCAGCTGACCTTTCCAGCTGGCAAGGAATCCTGCACCCTGACCAGCCCAGTCACATGAGCCGATGTTCCTTGGGCAAAGCCATGCACAGCTCTGGGTGTTGCGCAACTCTTAAAGGCGCAGGAGCCTTGTCGTCCGTCTGTCCCCGCATCTGCTATAGGAATTCTAAGGTCTCATATATATAAATGATATGTTCATAAAGTTACAAGGCAAACACATGTATATAAACCACGTGTCTCAAATAGTACAGGAGAGCAATCCTGAAGCTAGGTATTTTGACTCTTCCAGTGACTTCAAATATTCCTCTGCAGCAGGCATATCCAAAGTCTGTTTCGGGGCCTAATTATGGTCCAGCTCTCACTTCCATACCTCACTACTGGGAAAACCATAGCTTGAACTGTATACGGACCTTTGTTGGCAAGGTGATGTCTTAAAAAGCAGAGACATCACCTTGCCAACAAAGGTCCGTGTAGTTCAAGCTATGGTTTTCCCAGTAGTGATGTATGGAAGTGAGAGCTGGACCACAAAGAAGGCTGATTGCCGAAGAATTGATGCTTTTGAATTCTGGTGCTGGAGGAGACTCTGGAGAGTCCCATGGACTGCAAGAAGATCCAACCTCTCCATTCTGAAGGAAATCAGCCCTGAGTGCTCACTGGAAGGACAGATCCTGAAGCTGATGCTCCAAGACTTTGGCCTCCTCATGAGAAGAGAAGACTCCCTGGAAAAGACCCTGATGCTGGGAAAGATGGAGGGCACAAGGAGAAGGGGACGACAGAGGACGAGATGGTGGGACAGTGTTCTCGAAGGTACCAGCATGAGTTTGACCAAACTGTGGGAGGCAGTGGAAGACAGGAGTGCCTGGCGTGCTCTGGTCCATGGAGTCACGAAGAGTTGGACATGACTAAACGAATAAACAACAACAACAAATTTCTACCCTGACATGGGTGTCTTGGGGTTGTGTGAATGGCCCCTTTTCTCTTTGCTCCAAGCTCAGCAAGAACCCTTCCCCTTTCCTGGCCAACTTGGCATGTGCACATCTACAGAGGCGATGCCAGGGAGCAGGGAGGGTGCATTCCCTGCCAGTGTTTCACCTGGCACGGCCAAACACACACAAGCTCTCAATGCCAAACAAAGCCTCCAAACCTCCCCGGGGCAAAGAATAACAGAGCCGGCTTTCCAAGGGTAACTGGAGGGAGCCTGAGCCCTTAGGAAATCCAAAGCCACCTTTATGTAAGAAGTTTTAAAGTCAGGGCAAATGCATTTGCCAGAGTGCCCTAAAGGGACAGCTGCTGTTTTCTATGGATGTGTGTTGAGTATGTTCAGGTGGGTCTGTTTGCCTGAACTATATGCACAGGATTTGTGTTGCGTGAGGTTCTGGGCTCCACCAACAAGCCGCAGCCGTTGGCCTTGTGGCTGCTCTGGAAAAAGGGCTAGAAACTATGTTGCAGGAATTTATGTATAGGTTGGGGGTGGGAGGGTGTTTGCCCCTCCAGCAGATATCATGCACATGCAGCCCACTACCAAAATCAGCACAATCACTTTTTTGACTTTTGTGATTTGTCCCCACAAAACACTTCATCACAGTATCTTCCTATCTGTTCAAAGGGCCTCTGCTGCACGATACCAAATGTAAGAATTCACTGATCAATGTATCTATGTACTGGCTTACAGGGAAAACTTCAGAAATTGATATAGACATGTGAGCTCAGCTACCCAGCTGCCCCTCTGCCTGAGTGATAATCCCTGGCATCCTGATACCTGAGTTCCAGACATAACAAACATTCCAGAAATAACAAACCCAGATGAAGACAAAAGGGTGTGATTAATTTGGCTGGGAAACAGGGAAATGTAAAATATCTTTTTTGTTACACTTGATGGGTTTTTAGTGGAGGTCAAGGAGAAACATGGGGCAGGGTCTAGGATGCTCAGACAGCTTCCGAGTCATGTGGCCAGCATGACTAAGCTGCTTCTGGCAAACCAGAGCAGCGCATGGAAACGCCGTTTACCTTCCCGCCGGAGAGGTACATATTTATCTACTTGCACTTTGACGTGCTTTCGAACTGCTAAGTTGGCAGGAGCAGGGACCGAGCAATGGGAGCTCACCCCGTGGCGGGGATTCGAACCGCCGACCTTCTGATCGGCAAGTCCTAGGCTCTGTGGTTTAACCCACAGCGCCACCTGCGTCCCAACATGGGGATTAGCAGCTAATAAAAGTTTGGGGGCTCTTTTGTTTGGGGCTTCCATCTTGTTCCACCTGGTGGCAGGTGGGAGTCCTGTGGTGACAGTCTTCAATAAAGGCCAAGCCTACTGGCTGCTGTTTTGCTCTGGTATTCCTGGCTGGTGTCCTTGTTTTTTTTCCAAGGGAGCCCTCAGTTTTCTCCGCTAACAATCTAGTCTAACCCCCTGCAATACAGGAATCTCAACTAAAGCACCCATGGCAGATGGCTTACCTGAGGCTTCTTTGGCAGCTCTTTCCTGGGGGGAAAGTTTGACTTTCTTCTTCACCACCTTCTTCACAACTGGAGAAAGACAAAGCCATACGTTTTGTTTGTTTAGTTTTATGCTGTTTTTAAGTCACATTTTAATCAATGTTTTATATTTGCTGTTAGCCACCCTGAGCCCAGTTTTTAAACCAGGAAGAGCAGGGTATACATAAAATTCTTATTATTTTTATTTCAAGATATTTATACACCGCTTCATTGTAGAAAAAGAAGAAAAAAGACAGAAACCATCTCTCAGAACAGTTTACAAAAAAAAGATAAAACGATATTATCAATAAGAAGGAAATTAAGAGCAGCAATTTAAGTTGAAATAACAAGGGGCTAAAAAGAGTTTAAAACTCACACCGACTTTTAAAACATCTGGACTGGTTTGCCGAAATAAGGATGTCTTTAGCAGGCACCGAAAAGGAGACAGTGAAGGTACCTGCCTGATATCAAGTGGCAGGGAGTTCCCAAGCGTAGGTGCTGCCACAATTTAAAGTGTCGAGTTCTTGCCAATGTGGAATGGATAGGAAGTGGCTCCTTTTAGTGACTGGAGTGGCACTGTGGGCACATGCTGGCAAAGCGATCACACAGGTAAACTGGCCCTAGGTTGTTATGGGCTTCATATACAGTGGTAACTTGGTACTCAAACGCCTTGGTTCTCAAGCACCGAAAACCTGGGTGTAAGTGTTCTGGTTTTCAAATGTTTTTCAGAAGCCGAATGTCTGATGTGGCTCTCACATATTGTTTCTGGGGAGCCTGCACCAATCAGAAGCTGCACCTTGGTTTTCGAACATGTCAGAAGTCAAACAGACTTCTGGAATGGATTAAGGTTGATGCTTTTGTTTTATGATCGCCGAAGAATTGATGCTTTTGAATTCTGGTGCTGGAGGAGACTCTTGAGAGTCCCATGGACTGCAAGAAGATCAAACCTATCCATTCTGAAGGAAATCAGCCCTGAGTGCTCACTGGAAGGACAGATCCTGAAGCTGAGGCTCCAAGACTTTGGCCACCTCATGAGAAGAGAAGACTCCCTGGAAAAGACCCTGATGCTGGGAAAGATGGAGGGCACAAGGAGAAGGGGACGACAGAGGATGAGATGGTGGGACAGTGTTCTCAAAGCTACCAACATGAGTCTGACCAAACTGTGGGAGGCAGTGGAAGACAGGAGTGCCTGGAGTGCTCTGGTCCATGGGGTCATGAAGAGTCAGACACAACTAAACGACTAAACAACAAACAACAACATTACTTCCCTTGATCTGGATCCTAAACCTCTGTTGATGCTGTCTAGAAGAATACCATTAGCTTTTTTTGCTGTTGCATCACACGATTGACTCATGTTTAGCTTGTGGTCTACTAAAACCCCTCGATCCTTTTCCCACGTCCTGCCATCAAGCCAGGAGTGTCCTGTCCCCCCAAAAATACTATATATTTTTGCAGCTGGTTCTTCCTGCGTAAGTGTGGAACCTTGAAATCCTGTGCAGGAAGTTTTCCCCCTTGCATGCATGCGAATGAAAAGGGTTTCCTTTCTTCCTTTGGCAAAACCTTCCCTCCCACACCCCCAGCAGCCCTGCAGCCCCACGCTGTGGAACAGGATTCAGGAGGCCCCCACAAACAGTGCCTGCTCTGTGCAAGCTCAGCTCTCTGGCTCAGCTCCATCAGATCCAGCCGCTTTCCTTCAACCAACCCCCTTCGGAGAGGCGAAGCGAAGCAAGGAAGCCAGCTTGCATCCGCAGCACCAGGCGCGGCGTGGGAGCCTGGAGCGGAGAGAGCCAGCCAGCCAGCCAGCCAGCTATCAGACAGGGAAGAAAGCCTTTCGAGGAATGCAGCCTCCCTTCTGTGACACAGTTGGTCAGTTAGTTACCAAAAAAACCACACACCCACTGTTCCGTGGGGCCACAATGGCGCAAAAATGTGGTTACAAAGCACGGATCCACATGGATTCTCAGGATTTTTGCATTGGGTCACCCCAAATTCACCATCAAATCACATAGCATGTCCGTGGCTATAGCTTGCACCAAAAAATGACAAATCCACTGTTTCGTGGGGCCGCAATGGTGCAAAAACGTGGTTACAAAGCACGGATCCACATGGATCCTCAGGATTATTGCATTGGGCTACCCCAAAATCACCGTCAAATCACATGTCTGTGGCCACAGCATGAACCACAAAAATCATACATCCACTGTTTCGTTCAGAATATATTTTTTCTTGTTTTCCTCCTCTAAAAACTAGGTGTGTCTTATGGTCAGGTGTGTCTTATGGAGCGAAAAATACGTAAGTATTTTTATTTATTTATTTGATTTGGGGAAGGCAGCTGCCCCCCCCCCCTGCTCCTGGCTACGCCCATGTCTGTTTTGCATATGAAAAAAAATATTTAGGGTCATATATATGGGATCAAGTCAGAAACCGGGATGGCTTCTGTAATTCCTGGAAAATGGGGGCACTCAGAGGGTACGTCAGTGGTAGATCATTTGCTCTGCATGCAGAAGGTGCCAGGTTCAATGCCCAGTATCTTCCTGTCTGAAAAACCACTGCCAGTCAGTGTAGACATTATTGGGCTAGATAGGCCAATGGATCAGTGTAAGGCAGCTTGCAGGCGTGGAGGGTAGCAGCTGCTACATCAGAAGCCTCCTTGTGGCAGCTTCGCCTTCTGTTCTCATGCCAAGTTTGCAAAGGCAGAGTCAGCAGAAGGGTGGCATCCCCTGGCACCGTGATGCCTGCAGCTCTTGGCGGTCTGTGCAGCCGGGCGGCCTGCCACGACCCCCCTCCTCCTAGCAGCACCAGGATTTGCAAAGCAAGCAGTAGGTAGGTCAGCTTGAAACACTGCAAAGCCGCCTGTGGTTTGTGCAAAGGTGCCCCACATAACACGGAGACCTCTTGCGTAACACCACAAAGGCATGCTGGTCATGCCAATACATTAACATCATTGGTGAGGCTCGTTTGACAACACTGAAAAACAAGGGCTTTAGTGCAATTGACCCAGTCCTGTGGAACTCTCTGCCACTGGAGATTCAGCGGGCAACTTCTGCGCCCAATTTTAAACACCGTTGAAAATGCTTCTGTTCCTCCAGGCAATTCAGAAGACATCCTTCCCCAATGGTGAATTTAATGTTTGTTTATAACTCTTCAATATACGGCATGGCTTATGGCTTTTTTCCACGGAAGAGCGGTCTGTAAATATTCTTGTAAATATAGATGAATGAAGTGCAAACAGTGTCACAGAGGTCCATAAAGCGCAGGACACGCGGAAACGGTTAGTGGTTGAATGCAAATATATGTGAATGACGCTGCAAAACAACGCAGGCCAGTGTGGTTACACTGCAAAACAAACCACACGGCACGTGCCATGACCCAGAATTGCAAAATGCCCAACTAAGGTCTGCAAAACTTGACACTGGTTTTGCACACTGCAATTCCCTCCCGGTAGCAAAGTACCATCCAGACAACACGTTGACCATCACAACAAGACACACACTAACAATGCAAAGCTCTCATCATGTGAGGAACTCTTTATATAAAGAAACTTCTGGTCAGTTATTGTGGTGACTGAATCCATTATGTTCCATGTTCCATGTTTGTGGTATACAAGAATATGGTATGTAAATCTATTGTTTAATGTTTATGTTATGTTACTTAGTTTTGCATAAAATTACATTACATTATGTTCGTTTATATAATCCAGAGTATGCACAGCTGACGAAGCCCGGTTGGGCGAAACAAGGAATTATCCTGGAATCCTTGTCTTATTTTCTGCATGTGCCGTACTTTCAAGTTTTTCATCTGATACCTACTTACAAGGAACGCTAGAATTCTCAAAAGCATCGACACGTGGAACACTACAAGATTGATATAAGCATTCCGCATCGTGGTTATTGCTAATATAGGAACTGAATAGACTCCTGATCAGTCCGCTGGACTTTAATTACAGTGGTACCTCGGGTTACATACGCTTCAGGTTACATATGTTTCAGGTTACAGACTCCGCTAACCCAGAAATAGTACCTTGGGTTAAGAACTTTGCTTCAGAATGAGAACAGAAATCGTGCAGTAGCGGCGCGGTGGCAGCAGGAGGCCCCATTAGCTAAAGTGGTGCTTCAGGTTAAGAACAGTTTCAGGTTAAGAACGGACCTCTGGAATGAATTAAGTACTTAACCCGAGGTACCACTGTACTCAGAATATGTTCCGCTCATATGATAATGTGGTCTATGGAATTACATATTGTGACATGCTATGTTGAATTGTTTTTGAAATAGAAGTTATACGGTTACATACGGCCTGTTACTTTGTGTGTGTCATTACCAGAACTGGAACTATTTGCATCAAATGGCAGCACGTTCCGTACTCAAAATAGATAAGTAAATGGGATTGCCTAGCGCTGCACAATGTAAGCCTCCCAACGCCTCACCCTCGCAGGATTGACGTCCAGCCCTGCAGAGCTTGCGCATGAGGCCCCCTAAGGATGGCAAAACATTCATTCCCCTTTCTCCCAAGCACAATGCACACCACAAAAAAGGCACACCAGGAGCCAGGGGAAAGGTGACAATCCACACACACTTAGAGCGATAATCATACAGTTGGAAGGGACCCAAGGGTCATCTAGCTCAACCCCCTGCAATGCAGGAATCTTTTGCCCAACGTGGGGATTCGAACCCACGACCCTGAGATTAAAAGTCTCCTGCTCTACCGACTGAGCCATCTCAGCTGAAGTACGCGCACACTCTCTCTCACACACACAGTCATTTGCTTCACACTTTTGACAGTGGGACGGACTCCCTATGAAGATGACAAGCTCTCCTTCGCTGGAGGTTTTTGAACAAGAGATGCGATGGCCATCTGCCAGGGATTCTTTGATTCCTGCACTGTGTTCCTTCCAACTTTACAATTCTATGGTTCTGTGCCTCTTAATTTTAAACCAGTGTTCTCCTGTGACACTGGTGTGACAAGCTGTACAGCTAGTATCTCTGGCCTGAACCCTGTGTAGAAATTAATTCTCGCAGGGGGCTGGACTACAGAACCCTTGAGGATCCCGTCCCCCCCAGCTCTATAGTTCTAGGATGTTGTTTCCCAACACGGAGCTCAACACAGGTAAACCCTAACCTGCGAACGACCCTACCCTTGCATTTGCAAGGAGATCATCTGACACGGCCAGGGGTACCCTTTCTGACACCCAAACAGCCATTCACACGTTCTCTGGGCTCCTCCCGGATGTTGCGGCAGAGTGATGATAATTCCAGAAAGCTGGATTCTAACCAGCTTTTCATTTTCCTTGCTGGGGGCGGCTTACCAACAAAGACCAGTTACATAAATCTCCCAAGAGGAATCTCTGCACCCTCAAACTGTCCGCTGGACTTTGAGAAAACTCCGGTGTCTTTGCAAAATCCTTGCAGTGGCACGGACCATCGCCTGACTTCCAAACCTTGCACCCAACAAACTTCTCAGCGCGCCCACAATCTCCCTTTCAGAAAGACCCCCCTCCTGTGCGTAAAGAGGCAATGAATACCCGTACCTTTCTTCCCAAGAACCGGCTTCTCCGTGGCCACCCTGGTCTTCTGGGCTTGGCTGGTGGTAGCAAAGGGCGCTTCCTTGCCCTGTCTGCCAGGTGTGACTGTGGTCCTGAGGTTAGCAAGTGAGGTGAGCTCTGGACGGGCTGTTCCCCTCACCTGCTTTCTCCTGGAGGGCTCAGGTGAGGCGGAAGGTGCCCTGGGGAGCGCTGCTGTCACCTGGCTTGCTGCGGTGGGGCTCTTGCTGGGCTTGCGTTGCAGGAGGGTGGGGGCGGCCGTGCGGGGGGCCCCATCCACCACGCTGGGGGCCCAAGCTGCCAGGCAGATGGCGAGGAGAGGCAGAGAGAGACGGAGCATTTTCCCTCCCTGCAAACTACACACTTCCCAGACTTATAATCTCCAAGCTCTGTCTCTCCTTTTGATGCTGCTCCCCTCTTTCCCTTTTGTCAGATTCCCTCCCCCTCTGCACATTCCTTTTTATTTCCATACATGTACCGCATTGTCAGGAATAGCCGGGACCCGCAAAAAAACCTCGGCACTCCACGCCCCCTCCTCCCCCCTCGGCTCCTCCAAATTTTCCAATTCATCCGCGCTTGGCATTCCTCTCTGGATTTCCTCCTTCATGCAACGGTGTAGTTAAGACTATGGAACTGGTTCCCACAAGAGGCCACCAACTTGGAAAGAGGATTGGACAGATTGGTGGAGGAAAAGACTGACAATCCAGGATGACTTTCCTCTGCCCTGCACAGTTATTATTAAAGATTTTCTTGATTTACAATGGTGTTTGCAATCTCTCTCTCTTTTATTCCCCCCCCCATGTAACATTTTTACAAATCAGTTTCATTTGTTGTACATTAGTAAGAAAAGGGGGAAAGACGTGGTTTGTTGTTTAGTCGTTTAGTCGTGTCCGACTCTTCGTGACCCCCTGGACCAGAGCACGCTAGGCACTCCTGTCTTCCACTGCCTCCCGCAGTTTGGTCAAACTCATGCTGGTAGCTTCGACAACACTGTCTAACCAACTCGTCCTCCATCGTTCCCTTCTCCTTGTGCCATCCATCTTTCCCAACATCAGGGTCTTTTCCAGGGAGTCTTCTCTTCTCATGAGGTGGCCAAAGTCTTGGAGCCTCAGCTTCAGGATCTGTCCTTCCAGTGAGCACTCAGGGCTGGTTTCCTTAAGAATGGATAGGTTTGATCTTCTTGCAGTCCATGGGACTCTCAAGAGTCTCCTCCAGCACCAGAATTCAAAAGCATCAATTATTCAGCGTTCAGCCTTCTTTATGGTCCAGCTCTCACTTCCATACATCACAACTGGGAAAACCATAGCTTTAGAAAGAGGTGGAGTGGGGGGAGAAAGATGGGTCGGGTGGCGATGTTTCTATTTTACTTACTATATGTAGGGTTTGGTGTCAGCGTTGCTTGTGCAGGTTCTTTGCTGTTCGCTTGTGTTGCTTTGGTGGTGAGAGAGGTTGGGGTTGGCCCAGGGTGTGGTTATTCATGGGCTGTGGTGGTCTTTGTTTTCATGGGTGAGTGGGGTGGGTGGGTGTTTTGGATCAGGTTAGCCATATTGATTTGTATGCCGTTGGTGGATTCTTTTCATTGTCTTGTTGGGCTGTGTATGTGATGAAGGGGAGCCATACCGGGGTGAAGGCGTCTTCTTCTATTTGTCCCCGTGTCAGTTTCAGTTTATTGGTTAATTTTTCTAGTAGGGCTGTTTCTCATACTGTTTGGTACCATTGGTCCATGCTTACTCCTGACAGGTCTCCCCAGTGTCTGGTTATGCTGTTTCTGGCTGCTGAAAATAGGTGGGTTATGAATTCTTTGTGGTGTAGAGGTGTATTATTGTCTTGGAAGATGTTTAGTAGGGCCGATTCTGGAGTGATGTCTAATACATATTTCTCATACGGCTGTTGTCCAGAATAGTTGGATTTTGGGGCACTCCCACCACATGTGGAGGTATATGCCTGTGGAGGTGCACCCTCTCCAGCATTTTGGTGAGGTTCCTGGGCGTTTTAGTGCTAGTTTTCTTGGTGTTAGGTACCACCTATAGGTGAGTTTCAGAGTGAGTTCTTTTCTTTTCATTCATATGGATTTACAGGGGGGTTTAGACCATATTCTGGTCCATTGAGTGGGGTTAACCTCATAGCCTATGTTATCCTCCCATTCTTTTTTTGATTGCGTCTATGGAGTTTGTGGGATTTTGGAGTAGTATTTTGTATATTGCGGATACCATCCCTCTACCGTGTTGGAGGCAGCAGTGCTTCTGAGTGGCAGTTGCTGGAAACAGAGGGAGGAGAGAGATGCTTATGTGCTTGCAGGTTTCTCAGAAGAGGCACGTGGATACAGTGACATAGTGGGAGGGACAGGGGGGACATGGCCCCGGGTGCAAAATTCTGAGGGGGTGCAACGATGCGCCTCCAAGCATGCTTCTGCAGGGATACCTGTCGGGGGGCTGCTGCTGCTGCTACTGGGGGCCCCAGTCCCTGGCTCCCTGCCCTTCCCTGCTTGCGGTCAGGAGTCTCTGGACCTGGCCTTGCTGCCACATCCCCAGCAGATGCTGGCAATTGTGGAGGCTCCCTGTACATTTCTGAGGCCAAGCTGCCCTTCAGTCTCCAGGCCTCCTCTCTCAATGACTGCCTAGCTAGCGCTCGCCCACCCCTCACTCTGTGCATCACAGGCCCACAGGTGTGGGGGCAGGTATGGAGGTGGACAAGGGGTGACCCCAGCATGACCTGGCCCAATGCTCTTCTCCATGGGCATGGAGGGGGGGGATTTGCTTGCTAAGGGCTGCGGTTGGACTCAGCATCAGAGGAAGCTGCGAGGGCGCCTGGGCGGCACAAGGGTGAGGCAAGCAATCCATAGGGGCAGGGCGCACTGCAGGGGAGCATAGAGTCTGCACGTGCTCAAGACACCGTGTCTTTCCCAGGAGAGATGCGTGGCTCGGGCACGCTGCAGGCTCCACGCGGTGTCACCCCCTAGGGTGGTGCTGTGGGTTAAACCACAGAGCCTAGGACTTGCTGATCAGAAGGTTGGTGGTTTGAATCCCCGTGACGGGGTGAGCTCCCGTTGCTCGGTCCCTGCTCCTGCCAACCTAGCAGTTCAAAAGCACATCAAAGTGCAAGTAGATAGATAGGTACCACTCCAGTGGGAAGGTAAACAGTGTTTTCGTGTGCTGCTCTGGTTTTGCCAGAAGCAGCTTAGTCAGGCTGGCCACATGACCCGGAAGCTGTATGCCTGCTCCCTCGGCCAATAAAACGAGATGAGCGCTGCAACCCCAGAGTCGTCTGCGACTGGACCTAATGGTCAGGGGTCCCTTTTCCCTGTAGGTGGTATACCTGGGGCAGCCCGCACCTACCGCATCCCCTTTCCTCCAACCCTGTTTGGGCTCCTTCCTGTTTGGGCTCCCCCCTGTTTGTGGGTTTCCCATGGACATCTATTTGGCGAGTGTGAGAACAGGATGCTAGACCAGATGACTGGATCCAGCACGGCTCTTCTTGCGTTCTTATTTTTAAAGAATTGCATGTTGTTTTGTGAATTCTCCAAACTTTACCAACAGACAAGCAACCTCATGTTACCATGAGAGAAGAAACAAAATAAAAAAAATCCTTCCAGTAGCACCTTAGAGACCAACAAAGTTTGTCCAGTATATCTGAAGGAGCGTCTCCACCCTTAGCGTTCCCCCCAGACGCTGAGGTCCAGTGCCGAGGGCCTTCTGGCGGTTCCCTCATTGCAAGAAGCCAAGTTACAGGGAACCAGGCGGAGGGCCTTGTCGGTAGTGGCACCTGCCCTGTGGAACACCCTCCCACTAGATATCAAAGAGAAAAACAACTACCAGACTTTTAGAAGACATCTGAAGGCAGCCCTCTTTAGGGAAGCTTTTAATGTTTGATGCATTACGGTATTTTAATATTTTACGGAAGCCGCCTAGAGTGGCTGGGGAAGCCCAGCCAGATGGGCGGGGTATAAATAATACATTATTTTTATTGTTATTGGTATGAGCTTTTGTGTGCATGCACACTTCTCCAGAGAAGAGTGAGGGAGTTTTCCCTGCTCTGTTTGGACTTTGAATGCCAGAGATTGATGACCATTAGCTGCTTGGGATCAGATGGAACAAAGCATACAGATAAGAGGCTCAGATGACAGTGTTCTTGGATGGACCTTTTCCTTCAATCCGCTCTTGTCCCAATGCCATTAATTCCAGGTGGAGGCTGATCAGGAACACTTTCTACTCTCCAGCACTGTTGGCCAAAAAAGAACAAACCCCATTGTGACCTCTGTGTGTGTTTTCAGCATTCTGGACAAGGACAAGGTCTACTTGGTTCAATTCCCACCAAATTCCTCCCACGGACAAAGATGGGGTCGAGACCAGCAGGCAAAGAGGGCAGCATCATTTTTTATTTTTATTTTTTGCAGAAAAACCTTGGAAGGCGTGTTTCTGCAGAAGCTTTCCTGGACAGTTTTCCTCGACCGGGGAAAAAACCCATGTGCAGCTGTACACAAACAACGGGACTACTTGAACTTTTATTTTAAAAAGATATTGCACAAATGTCAAGCATTTGCTCGGCACTGTTGTGTATTCAGAGTGTTTCACAACCATTACCTCCAATTCTCTACTGGGTCTACGGAGTGTTAGGGGAGGGGTAGTACCTCTCGTGGGGACATGTCGTGCTCCTTCTGGGGTAGTTTGTCCACCTTTGGTCCCCACTGTGCACTCAGCTCTCACCTGTGGCTCCTGGAAGTTGTCTGCATGTGGCAGCAGCCACACCGCAGGAAATGGCTTTGACTGGCCAGCTAAATCAGATGAGAAGAGCCTATGTGTCACGGTCCGGTTCACGGGCGATCAAAGTCCTGGCAGAGGACGTCGGGACCGGGGGCAAGTTGGCGGGGTGGGAGCAGGAACGGGAGTCCAGAAGCCAGGAGTCGGGAAGCAAAGAGTCCGAGGGTCAGAGAGCTAGGAGTCAAGAAGTCAAGGGTCCGAGGATCAAGAAGCAAGGAATCACGAAATCAAGGGTCGAGAAGCAGGGAGTCACGAAATAAGGGGTCCAAGGGTCAAAAAGTGAGGAGTCACGAAGTCAAGGGTTGAGAAGCAAGGAGTCACGAAGTCAAGGGTCCAAGGGTCAAGAAGCAAGGAGTCATGAAGTCAAAGGTCTGAGGGTTGAGAAGCAAGGAGTCACGAAGTCAAGGGTCCGAGGGTTGAGAAGCAAGGAGTCATGAAGTCAAGGGTCCGAGGGTCAAGAAGCAAGGAGTCAAGAAGTCAAGGGTCCGAGGATCAAGGATCAAGAAGCAAGGAGTCATGAAGTCAGGGGTCCAAGGATCAAGGATCAAGAAGCAAGGAGTCACGAAGTCAAGCGCAGCAGGGCAGGGACCTTGCCATCAGGTGCTGTGAGTTACCAATCAGCCTCACCTGTGTGGCTGCACCTTGCCTCTTCAGAACAAACTTAGGAAGGCCCCAGTCCTGC